TGTAATTTCTAAAAATCTTTTGCTGAAAATCACAGATTTCAGCTTGCTTTGCAGACTTGGTTTTTTAGTTAATACAGGACTCACAGCATTACACCTCTTACACCTTTTATTTTCAGTTTGCAGTAGGCCCATCTAATTTCAGCAGCAGTGACTTTCACGATGAAGAAGGCAGAAGAGGATTTAAGTTACATTACAAGTTTCCTTGGGGGACAGAAACAATAGAAACACTGAAGAACCTTGGTGATACTGAACTGTTACAGATGTATCCAGGGGAAAGTTCAAAATTGCTTGTAAGCTTCACTATATTAAAAATCTTTTCTGATAAAGAGGGAAATGTGTGAGAGAAATGGTTTCTTTGCTAGTCCAGTTGCTTAGCAGGTGACTGTCTTGTTATTTGTTGGCTGTAAAAGTAGTACAGTTGATACTCTGCACTCAGACCTCCATTTTCAGAAGCTGATAAAATGGTGTTTTGGGACTTTTTTTGCAATAAGTTAATTAACTGTAATTAGAAATGAGCTATAGTGACAAGACAGCTGTTGTCATTGCCATAGTCTTTACCTGTATCTGTTAAAAGAAACTCAGACTGTGCTTTGCAATGTTCAGTTTGCATCAAAAAAACCTGTAAATGTTTTTTTCTTGCTGTAGCCTGTTCACATCCATATATGTGGAATATTTTGTAGGTTAATGAGTTATAAACATTGCAAATGGCTTTATAGAAGTTACCACACTCAAAGGGTGAATGGATCAGAGGGAAACCTCTCCACTGAATGTATTGGAGGGGGACAGACTTAAAGTGAATGGCAATGTTTGAAGTCAGGCTGAACAGAGAAAATGAGAGTAACTTGGTATTTTACCAGTAAATTGCAACCTTCTCCTTCTCATGACAGTCCAGTCTTTCCTGGGTTTGCAGTTTATTTCTGTAGATAAGGTGGAAGACTAACCTACAAAAGTGGGGCAGGGATTTCTTGGAACATGGGGAGAGATCCTTCTGGTCACTTTGAAATAATCTACACACCTCGAAAGGAAAATGCAATTTCAAGTGTATTTGCCATAGATTTAAATTTATGATCATAGTGGCAGGCAAGAAACTAATTCCATCCTGCTCTGACCTTCTGCTTCCCCCAGTGTTGCAGTGTTACCTGGTTACACTTCTGAGGTTTCTGGTAACTTTTTAAAATACATGTCTGATTGTGCTTTAAACATAATAGGGGTACTCGACCTCAATCATTATACATTTAAAGCAAGCAAAAGGCTTTTTGGGTCAATCTTTGATGTTTCCCTTTGTGTTTTTTTCTCTTCAGGGCCGAGATGGAAGGAAGAATGTTATTCCTCATGTTCTGTCTATGAATGGAAACCTGGACCGAGGAGTCTTGGCCTATCTCTTTGATTCCCTACAGCTGGCTGAGAATCCATTAACAACAAAGAAAAATTCACAGAGAAAGGTAACTTTCTGTAGAAAGTGTAACAAAAGTCTAAGTACAAAAGCCAGAGACAATATGGTAAATTCAAGCATGGAAATGTCTCCTTTTCCCACTTGGCTGTCCTCTTCCCTTCCCAAATGGATGCAGTCTGACTGTTCTCACTGGTATCACCAGGCTGCCCCCATGGCACTGCCCAGCAGGCCTTGTCACCCACATGAGCATTTTTTTCTCTCACTCTGAGGTTCCCTTTCCTGTTTTACCTTTTTCTCTGATGGGTGGGCAGGCTCTTGCCATGCAAGCAGTGAAGGAGTTAAGAGAAGTTGGAATGTAGCTGCAGTTTGTGGAAAAGAGGAATTTGTCTCTTCCAGCAGCATTTGAAGGTGGCTGAGAAGAGCAGAAAAAGTGGGTCACAGGTGGTAGTGGGGCATCTTCCCAAGGACCATGGTTATTCCCACTTTTACCCTGTTTCTCTGCAGTTTGAGTGCTGGCTGGCAGACAGGGCTTGTCACCCAAACAGCTGTTTGTTCTTTAAGAACAGGCAGTAGCCTGGATGGGAACTGTCTGCTGGGCTGTCTCTGATCACTCTGGCTCTGTTCAGGATGATGGAGCTCTGCTAACAAATCTTTATTTCTTTCCTGGGGCTCAGCCAAAATGGAGTAATTTCTGCCCTGTGATTCTAGCTGGAGTATGAGTGTGCTAGTTATATAAAATACAGCTTGCTGCTAATTCAGGAATTTGTGCTATGAGAAAATTTTTACTTGTTTAGAGCCTTAATTTAAGTTAAAAAACCTTACTGTTTCCTAGTTCTGTAGAATTGTGTGCTAAACGAATTTGGTAATCTGTTGCTTTTTGTAAATTTATAAGGTACTTAAGCTACATCCTTGTTTAGCACCTCTTAAAGTGGCCTTGGACGTAGGAAAAGGTCCAACAACAGAGCTGAGACAGGTATGTTGTAAGACAGTATTTTAATTTTGAGCACTGAATCTCCATGTTACAGTTCAGACAGGGTTTGTGTTGGGGAAAATCTTTCTGCTGCTTTGATTCCTGCTGTGCAGCTTGTGAGTCACAGCCAAAGAAGTTCACTGCAGGCAGTTCCCTGTGTGGACACACTGCTTTTGGTGCTGTTAATAGACCTGATACTTGTTCCATGCAAAATTAAGGAAAAGAAATATCACAGTCCCTCCCAGCTTAATATTTCAGAATTATCTTAACACATGGGTTGCATCTTCAGAAAGTTTTTTTAAAAGTTTTTATGTCAGTCAAGTCATTGTCAGTCCTCACAGAAAGGAGCAAACTTACACTGTTTTTAAACAGAATTGGAGATTTAATTGCCAGGCTGCTTTCCATTTGGAGATTATTTCAGCCAGCGAATTAACACCGGCTAGGAATGTTAATACCACACATGTTGGAGTTCTAATGGTTTCTTTGTAGAGTCTCAGACCCTCAAAGTCTGTCTTTTAACTGTTGTTTTTAAATGATCACAGGTTTGTCAAGGACTGTTCAATGAACTGACAGAAAACAGAATTTCTGTGTGGCCAGGTTATCTTGAAACTGTGCCAGTGTCTCTGGAACAGCTTTATACAAAGTAAGGAGAAACAATCTTTGGTAAATTAAAGTATGAAGGTGAAAGATGACTTTCTGTGGACTAGTGCAAATATGCCTGATTTCAGTCAGAAGTCATTGGGTGCAGTAACCACATGACTGAAGGCATTGATCCCAAACTACAGACTTGGATTTGAGTAGTTTTATTATGAAAAGCATATTGTTCATTTTTTAAATTAAATATAAGCCTTTCATGTGTTATTGTTATTTCCCTGGAAGTGTGAAATGCCTTTTAGAGACTCTCCTATTGAAAATAAATTTCTTCACATGAGTCTGAAGCTCTCAGAACTGTTTCCCACCCTCACCCCCCATTTTTGCATCTACTCTGGTTCCATGTTTCATTCTTAAGTACTGTTTCAAATAGCACACTGTGTCTAGTCTTGAAAGTTCTTCCAAATCTGGAACCATTACTGTCAGTGTATGTGATGGAATTATTTATGGATATAAAAACACCTATTCCATTTGGGGGCTTCATGTTTTATTTGTTTATCAGGAGTGAATTTGGGGCATATGGCCGCTCATGTCAGTGGATCTTGAGCACACTGGTGAATGTTTCTTAGAGAAAATAAATACCACTATTTGTTCATGTGCAGTAGTATTCAAAGTAAGTCAGATAAATTCTACTTCTGCAAAAATATTCCTGTAATAGGTCACTAAATAACATTCTTTTATGTACTAAGGTAGCTAAATAATTTAAAGAAATGTAATCAGGAAAGCAAGGAACAGCAACAAGAAAACTGGTGTCGTCATGCTGGACTTAGTGCAGTACAGCAAAAATAAATATTTACAGCTCGTGGTCATTGGCACATAATTTATCTGATTTTTTCCACACACCAAAAGCAGTAACAGGGGGACTCTTTTCTTTTCAGGTACGATGAGATGAGCATTCTCTTCATGATCTTGATAACTGATGCCACTCTGGAGAACGGGGTGGTCCAGCTGAGGAGCAGAGACACCACCATGAAGGAAATGATGCACATTTCTAGGCTGAAGGACTTTCTAACTAAATATGTGACGTCAGCCAAAAATGTGTAAGCTGAAATTCACTGAATAAAGGGATTTTCTTAAACCTCTGTGCCTGGACCAGTTTCAGCATTGTTATGGTCTTGGTGTTTTCTCTGCAAATAGCTCTGCTAAAGTTTGGTGGTGCATCTGTTGGCTGTCAAATCAAGGCCATCCAGGTCTTCCAGGTTTCCTTGGAAAGAGGCAAGAGACACAACTTGTCCCTGGTTAGCAGGGCTAACCATATCCTCATTCATGTCTCTACTGCCAGGTAAAAGTACTCCATCCTAAGCTAAAAATTCAGCTTTCATCTGTATTGGTGACACAGTTATGATCTCTGCTGGAAAATGGGATTTTATATAAAATGGGATTTTATATAAAAGACTTTTAAACATTTTAATAAATCAGTATCTTTGTACTATCTGTTTGTAGGAATGTGTTTTAATCACATGGCCCCAGTTCTTCAGCATTCAAGCTACTTCATCTTGCACTTGATAAACATAAAAATCAGAAGTAAGTTATCAAGAGTAACAGAGGAATAGATTTAAATAAATTGTAAAGGTTTTTACGAGCATTTTTTGTGGAAAGAAAAAGTCTGTGTATATAAAATGCTGGAAAAAGACTAATGTGTGATCACATTTTTCCTGCTGAGCATAGTGGTTAAAATCAGATACAAGAGTTTGCAGAGATACAGAATTTAGTGTTTCTGATCTTCTGGAGATTTACAACATGTTCAGAGCTTGTTGAGTCACTGTGTAAAGTGCTTAAAGTGTGTGCAACAAGGCACATGGCCTCTGATAGTCATCAGTGTCATGAAACACAGGAACTTGCCTTAAAATTTTCTTCTTAACTAAAAATGAGTTATTTGTAACAATAGTTGCTGCATAGTGTAATTATGTTAGATATAGTGCAAGGTCAGCATAGTGTAACTTATTAAACATGTGGAATTCTAAATTAGCTGCCTGTGGAATGATATTAGAACAACCCAGGTTTTTTTAAGAACGGCCTGTAGCAGGATGCAGAATTTGTTTTGGAATTAGCTGTTCCAAAAGTTAATTTTGAGATCCTATCCCTACCCTGAGAGCTGAAATAATGTAGAACTGAGAAATTCCCATCCTTACAGGTGCTGAGGCCAAACACAGATCCTCCAGTGTGTGCCTAAGAGGACACACTTGGGATTGTATGTTTTTTTTTTTAACTTATACTGAACTAAAGCCTTTTGATTATCTTATGTCTGCACCCAATCCAGTTTGTGCTTTAGGAGAATTGTTAACTGTACAGGAACTTGGGGCTGGGTGAAAGCTTTAAATAATTTATTCCTTTCTGTTTATTCATCAGATGCCAGTAATGCCAGACTGTATATTGTGTCCAGCAGGATGTTATACCTGGCAGTGATTGCATTGCTTTAGTGTGGCTTTCATGGTGCTGTTTGGGCAATAAGCTGCTGTTTATCTTAATGGAATTGCTGTTCAGTATTTCCAGTTGTTATCTGTTCTGCTTTTTCTCTTAAGTTGAAGTCCTTATATATTATAACTGTGAGATTTTGCTTTTATCTGTCTACAAACTGCCTAGGCCAGGAAACTGGTATCTGAACATCATCTCTTTCTGTGAAACTTGCTGGTACTTATCACATTTGGGGACTGAAAAATTCTTTAAAAACATGTGATTAAGTTAACCACAAAAGAGATCATACCTGGTACTCAGTTTCTGATGAGGACTTTTGAATAGACTGTAGTACATTCCCTCTTCCCTGCTAAAAGCCAGAATAGCACAATTCATAATTGCTTTTTTCATACAGATACCCAGTAGAAGAATTAACATTACATCAGCTACATGGTTACTAATAACATCTGCATGATTTCATAGTGAGGCTGTTGAGTTTTTGGGTCATAGGATAGTTGTCTTCTTTTCTTTTTCTTTTTTCCCCCCTCAAAAGGTCTTAAAGTTACTTTAATTTCTCCATGGTAACTAAGCAATTTCATAAGCAGCTACAACTATCTAAGCCCTGCCTCCACCCAGCAAAGTCCCCTCAAAACATGGTTGTGAGCATCAGATATTCCAATATTATAGCTTGAGGTTTTCACCTTTTTCATCTTCTCTTCTAATAACAGAAAAGTTGATGTATTCTTCTTCTGGCTTAACAGGCTCTGGATTAAAGATGGTGAACAGCAGTTAATTACAAGCAACTAGATCAGGCTTTTTTTTCTATAATCTTGAAATAAAGCAGTGAGATTCTATAGTGAATATAAATCCTGTTTTGTGTAGCATTCCTGGGCCTTATCAGAGCTCTTGTCCCTGTCCTTGCAGGCTGTGGGTGGGATGCTGAGTGATCCCTGGCACGAGCAGCTGCACAGCAGGGCAGTGAGGACCTTACCTGTGTACTGCAGGATCAGGAAGGCAGGTTAGTTTGGAGAGAATTACTCCATTTTGATATTCAGAAATGGGAAACATGATGCCCTTGCTATTGGTTTGGTTTGGGGGTTTCTTTTTCCCCTTCAAAAGAGACATTCACATACAGAGCAAATACAGAAAACTCCCAAGTTCAGAGCATTGTGGCTATGGGGGAATGTCTTTGTTATTGTGTATTTTCTGCAGCTGAAGCAGCACAATGTCTTAAGTCAGTTGCTTTGTTGTCACTTCATAATTTATGTTTGAACTGAGTCTTGTCAAACTTCAGAAACATGGAATAAAGAGCAGAAGCACTGAACAATTTTGAACAGAATGCAAGAGCTACGTAAGTTTTATTTTGCTACAACTCCATATAGCCACTGTTGGCTCTTAGTAAATACATGGAACCTCATTTCATTTCACCAGCTGCAGTTTTGGCTGCATGGCTGACAGGTGATGCCAAATATGGATTCTGAGGGAATCCATATATGAGGCTCCTGCAGTGCCTGAAGAACTGTGCCCATACCATCCTGAGTGCAGGGGGGTGACATGAACTTACCAATCTCTGCATATATGACATCATTTTCAGTCTCCTCCACATTCACTGTTGATGTAAAGCCAGTTGAGGGCCTGGTAGACTTATATTTTTCTGCAAATTGTAAAAGAAAAACACATCTGTACACCTGTATCAGTTTTTCCTAAAGAGGGAAGTAAACAGTTTCATGGTATTTTTTGAATATTTGGAGACCTCAGATAATGTTATTTTCATGATAAATATTGCTCTTTAACTAAGGGCATTTTAATAGATTTTAATAGATTTCCCTTTCCAACGAGATCTAATTCCTTCCAGTGTTTCTGTGTATTACATTAGATGTTGCTTTGTTACTCCCATCCCAGATCTGCCATCCAAAACAGGGTAGAAGTTTTGCCTTGTCAATGTTAAGTTGCCAGTGCTGGTTGAGAGGAGACTTGACAACATCCTAAATCACCAAGAGCTACTCTGCTGGTAAGGTGATGTTTACACACTAAAATATACGGACAACATAAATGAAAATGAAAGAGACATTCACATAACTCACTTGCTTTATATGAAGGAATTATGAAAAATGGAATTGCCAGAGCAAATCCTATTACAAGTAGTAGCAGGATCAGCCCAAGAGAAATTATCAGGGCCTGAGAATGGCTTCTCTCTTCTGCCAAAAAGAAGAAGAAAGTGTTTATGCAATGAAATGTTTTGTATTTTAAGTATTTTCTATGCATTAAAACCAACACTTCGGCATTTTTTTCAGCTTTTGGATTAACTGTGGTTAATGTAAGTGCTCAGGAGAGTCTCAAGGGCACTGTGTTCCAGCTTGCTGGTGCCAGGAGGCTTTTTCCTAGGACCAGAGAGACAAATAAAGCCAGACTCTCCCCAAGGTGGACCAGGGGTCTCTTGTAAAAGTGAGTCTTTTACAGTCATTCTTCATGGGCACTTCAACTTCTCCTATCTAGACTGCGTGGAATTCTGTGGTTTTGCATGCATTTGAAAAACTAAAATTAATTTTTTGTTGTAAAGAAATTATATTTTGAACATGATATTGCAGGAACAAATTATCTAGCTAAAAAACTTGGATCATGACAGCATTCTGAACTTTGTATGGTCCCTGTTTGTCAGTGGTAACTCTTTTATGCTTACCTGCTAATGTGAAGTTGAAACTGTTGCTGTATTTCATACCATTGGGAAAACTGTTATTAGCTTTGCATTTATAGGTTCCAGAGTCAGTAGAGGAATTGACAAATAGAAAAATCACAGCTGCTTCCCTCTCGTGCATCATCTTTGGGGGAGAGATGCTTTGTTTTCCCTTGAAGAATATGTAAGTGATGGGAAGAGATCCATTCTCGGAGAAACAAGACAGGGTCACGTTCTGGCCTTTCGTTGTGTGAGAGGTGGGTGAGCTCAGCACTGGTTTGGAAATTGGCTCTGAGAAAAGAAAACTGAAAAGGCTCAATCACTGAGTACAGGACAAGCTCCAAGCAAGACTCAGAGTTAAGCAGCAAAATGAGGTGAGCATCGAGGATGGAGGGTTGGTGAGCCAGAGCAGGGCAGCACTGCTGACTCCTGAGGGAATAACAACCATCTGCAGTAAAGGTCAGCTCCTCAGGCAAGACTGTGCCCCTAAAATAGTGTGCTGGGAAGGTGCCCAGCCAGACATACCTATAAGGGTGAAGTTGAGGCTGTTGCTGTATTTTCCATCACTGGAGGTGTTGTGCTCAGCTTTGCATTTGTAGGGACCCACGTCGCTGGCAGAGCTGATAGTCAAGGTAAACAATGCAGGGGTCGAGTCTGACCTGTTCAGAGAGGATACCTGCTGGTTGTGCTTGAACAGGGTGTATCTGACAGGTGGAGATCCAGAGGCAGAGCAGCAGCAGAGGGTCACGTTCTGGTTCATCACCACGTTCAAACTCCTCTGAACCAGTACGAGCTTGGGGTTGGACAGGATCCCTGGAAAGGAGAAACTTCTGAGTGAGTTGACTGCACCTATCACCCAAAAAACTCCCAAATTTTTCCCAAAATATGTTGAGAACCAAGCTATATTTATTTCTGTTGAAATAGGGCATTGTATACTTTTTTCTGCCTCCAACTCAAGTTCATACTTTTTAAAACCAGTATGCAGCTTCACACATGACAGAAAGTGCATGTCTTCATGCAAAAGAGGGCACAGCCACACAAAGCCCACAGATGTGTCCAGGCGAACCAACAAAAATACTTATGAACTACAGCTTCAATTAAAATAATAGAAGTACAAAAGATAAATCAAGTATTAGGAGTGTTACTTGTAGGAGAAAATAACCTTATATGCTATATGAAAGGTAGCATGTGAACAAGCAAAAGCAGTATTTTATTTGTGGCTGTATGTAAAAAGGCAGAATTAACCTTGTGTAAGCAGATTGAACTTTTGAATAGTAGCAGGGACCTTGATGGTCTATCAAATTTGTTTCCTTTTATGATATTATACAAATAAATTTGCAGTAAAAACTTGTCTTTTCATAGAAAATGGTACTAAACCACTCATAACTAAAATAACAACATTTCTAGTGGGAAAAAATATTTTTAACAACTTAAAGCAATTTTGACTGTACAGACAGGTCAGCAAAGAGACTGTTAACTTCGTATAGAAACTTGTAAACTGCCTCACTGCACAGACAGGCAAAAGATTTAATTTTACATGAACATTCTGGACATTTTTAAATCCCTTCCCTGCTTTTTGGTTAACAGTCAATTGCAGCACATATCTCTAAATCAACAAAAGTGAACTTACCTTTACCACTTGCAGTAGTTTTCTGTATCTGCTGAGACACTTGAGCTAAGAGAAGAAAAAGAAAAGCTTTCAGGTGAGAAACAGTGGTTCTGGTTGAGAAAGATTTGGAGTAGGAAAGAAGCATGTCCTTGGCTTACAGTAGGAAAACAGCAGAATTGTGAGAAAAAACATTTTCTTGATACTGGAAAAGAGAGCTGGTGGAGTTACATGACAGATCTTTCTTTCAAAAGAGATCGAGGAGTGGCTCCAGGGCTTGAGGAAGTTCTATATATGGAAACAGTGCTGATCTCTACTGATCTTTCTGTGAAGAGTTTTTTGTCATGTTCCATGCACATTTAGCCTGTGGCAGGCAGGGTAGTGGGCAGAGTGAGGAGCAGCAGTTTGGGATGCAGGTAAATGTTGCCTAGAGTTGTTCTAGGACACAATCAGGGGTTTTCCGTGTGAGTTGGGTGGTAGAACCATACTGCCATGTATGGAATCGTAGAATCACTGAGGTTGGAAGAGAACTCTGAGATCATTGAGTCCAACCATTGCCAGGTCCACCACTAAACCATGTCCCCAAGTGCCACATCCACACGTGTTTTAAATCCCCCTAGGGTTGGTGATCCCACCACTTCCCGGGGCAGCCTGGGCTTGACAGCCTTTCCCATGGAGAAATTTTTCCTAATATCCAATATAAACCTCCCCTGGTACAACTTAAGTCTGTTTCCTCTTGTCCTATCACTTGTTACTAGGGAGAAGAGACCAACCCCCACCTGGCTACAACCTCCTTTGGGTAGTTTTTCTGGTACTGTTCTTAAAAGAGAATGAGATCAATCACTGATCTGTATCAAAAAGTCACATGTTTGTCACAGATAGTGCAAGTGATCATATGGCTGTGACTAAGGAAGTATGTGGTACTGGGTGTTTTTTAGCAGCAATATAATTAAAAAAAGACAGTCCAGAAAAAAGAGAGTATCAAATTTATAGAAGTTTTAGGATACTAATAAATATTTATAGCTAGCCAGCTTGTTTGGAAAATATTTTGATCAAACTTCAAATATGAGGCTGTGAGGAAGTGAGACCTTATATTAGATGCTACAGATCTCATAAAGAACTTGAGTTCAACAGGACTGCATAAACAAACTTGATGACTAATTTGATGAGCTAATCCGTAATACAAATTACAGTCTTGGCAAGTAGATGTTCTTTCCTTGTCATCCTCTGGACAAAGTAAGTGTAATCATCAGCTATGCACGGGCCGTGCCTTCTGAGGGGCTCCAGGCCCTTTTGTATGTGAGGAGGTAATTGCTTACACAGAACATGCCTTAAAAGAGTTGTTGTGATCCTCATCTTATTTCTTAGTTTCCAGTCTCTGAAGGCAATAAGACAAAGCCCTACAGTCTGGAGGTGTAATACAGGATCCCTCCCAAATCCTCGGCTGTTGCAGCATTGCAAAACTTCCTCACAGAATGTGTGCGCACTTCCTTCCTCCTTGCTTTCTTTTTTTTTTTTTTTAATTTTGGGGATGGAGGGGATTTGTTTTGTTTTATTTTGTTTTGTTAATTTCTTCTAAGACAACCTCCACCCTCCCCTCACAAATGTTTCTGGTGTGGAAACGCTGACAGCAAACCACAAGGGCGGAACATCTTTTCACAGCTGTCAGGAAGCACGTGTGAAAATGCAGCTCTTGGGGGAAGAACTGTTGGGGTGTTTTTGCATTTTCCTGTTATGGGAGCCTGTTCTGGTCGGAAACCCACACACACAGTCCCTGAGACACTGGCGGCCCGGGATGGTGTCCCCTCAGACGTGGATGTGTCCCCTCAGAGGCCCTGGAGGTGCTCACCCACCATCCAATGCTTTTCTCTTTCTAAGAAGCTGCTTCGTGTTGTGTGTGGGCAATGGGGAATGGTTACAGAGCAAATGAGCTGTGAATTTGGCCGTGCCTTTCAAAAAATAAAAGTCTGGTAGTCACCAGGATCTCTCATGTACAGGAGCTTCAGTGGGGTGTGTGCAGGTTCCTTCGGGATGCGCAGCCTGGGTGTCCAAAGAGGACGAGTCCAAAGGCCTGGTTTCTGTTTGGAAGTCAGTTTACTTCCATGCTGATTGTTTTTCTGGCAGGGCTGGCTATTGACTTTGGACTAAGGTAATGTTGCTTTGTTCAGCATGTATACAGAGAGTTTTATGCCAACAGTAAGATATTGTGTAAGCTCAGAGTTCCCTTTTTATTAGATGTACAAATTTTCTGCCTGCAATTAATGTGGCTGTACATGTAAGAAGAACTGAATAAATTTAGCAAAGAGTAATGAACATGACATTACAGAACAGAAGCCATCCAGCCAAAACAAGTAAGTTAAAAATCAGAAAGGGAAATATGTGTCACTTGGTGCTGTGACAATATTCTACCTCAAGCAAGCAGGTGGAAGGGAATAAAACCCAAACTGAGCTTTCATTCACAAGGTCAGTTCTTTAAGTTGAGAATGTAAATAGTGTGATAGTGTTCTGTAGTAAGGCTGTGAAAGCTTCACACTGTGTCTGTTCTATCACAGGCTTCCAGGGAAATTTGCATTTTTCAGCAGAATTATGAAAGTTATTCCCAGCCCCAGTTTCTCATCCTGAGAGGTTCTGGAGGAGCATCTGCTACAGTAGATATCTGCAGAAGGTTTGCTAGAAATCACCATGTACTGACAGCTATGTCTGGTGATGAATTAAATTAAGGCTCTGTTTTGTCTGCAGAAAGGTTTTAGTGATATAGCTTGATCCTCACTGAATACCGTATTTTTACACTCCTGTAAAAATAGCTGTGGGAGCCAGTCTGCTGTTTGTTTTAACTACTTGGTGTTTTTGAGAGGATTGTTTTTCTGGAGGACAATTAAGAGTAGAAGAGGAAATTATCTCTTCTATATGGATATTTAAGGTAGCTTTAAATTTCTTGCAGTAATGCTCAGGTTCTGAATGAGAATTTTGTTGTAGTAACTGATTTTGAATTAACTGCAGATTGCAAAGGACGTGTCAGCAGGTGAAAGGAACTTCTGGGCACCCAGTTTGATAACCTAGCAGCTCCCACATCTCCCAAAGATGAAATGTGGTATGTCTGTCCTCTGAATCCTCTCCCAAAACTGGAAAAAGAAAGAAAGAATTTGGGTGGGACATGGAAAACTGGGGTTACTAATACATTTCTCATGGGATAAATTCAGACATCACTATATGAAGAGTGTTCCAGAGAAATGTGTTCAGGAATTACTATAAGAGTGCTGTAGTTGAAAAATAGGGAGTACTCTCTTAGTCAGCTTAATCAGCCTTCTTTACAAACTCATAGTTGTAATATTAACTTTTTTCTGCTGCCTAACCTCTGATAAAAGTTAACTTTTTTTTTTCTTACTGAATGAAAAGAAAAATGCTAAAAAAAAAATTACATCTGCCAGTACTCTATGTATTTTTCATCCCTTTTCAAACCCCTGTTGGTGTACTCTGAGGTGTCTCTGAGGAGTATCTGCCCCTCTGTGCAGTTTAACCAGCAGTTACATGAGTGGCAGCACTGGCTGTGTGTGGGCACCTGCTGCAGGTAAGGAGCAGATCATTCTGCCTCTTGGTTTGTGTTAACTCTGCTGAAAGGTTTCCTGTCAACTTGGACCAGCTTGTTGAGTCACTATCAACTGAATTATCCTTGTGAAACCTATGTGGAATAATTCTTGGAGAATCACCAGGGAGAAATATTTCCAGATTAATTCCCTTTCCAACCAGAAGTTTCTGATCTCTTCTCTGTTACTGTCCATCCTCTGTGAGGGATATTCCTGCAGAGCTCGAAGCTGGTTTTCAGCTGCATCCAGAAATGCTGGATGTTCAACAAAACAAGTGCAAATCCTGGTGTAGTGCCAGGGAAGGGCAGTGTGTGACAGTGACACAGGCTGTGTTGTGTGTTTCTAAACGGAGGAATTTGTTACTGCAGGAGTGGACAGCGGTTAAAAATGCCCTTGAGGAGCTGAGTCACTCACACGCTGCTGGCACAGGGAAAGGTCGAGGTGGTATCACAGGCCACAAAAATAATGGAATCATAAATTGATTTCACGTCTCTGAAAGAAGGAATTTCTCTCCTTTTATCCAACTGATGAGGTACGTGGAGGTTTGTGTTACATGAAATACAAGTCAAGGTTAGATTTCTAGTGTTCTTCTCAATGTTGCACGGTAGCAGTAAGGAAGCATAAAAACCAAATAGCAATAATTAGCTCCTGTTGTATTAAAAAGAAAAATTTCAGTGTGAAAGCCTCAGTGACATTCTGTCATTATCAGCTCCCTGGTTCCTTCGGTTGCTTTTCCAGGTTTAATTTATGTTGCCATTTGGAGGAGGTGTTGGATACCAGTAATCACATGTTTAATTGCACTTCGCTGCCGTGCTCATCTCCCAGCAGATGGTGCCATTGTGAAATGCAATTTATTCCCAGATGCACAAACTGGCAATCCAGAGTTTCTGTAAATTGTAGAACTTCCAGACTCCTGGAAAAAAAGGCTGGATTAATTTCTTTATTGTACTGTGTAAATATTCAAATCCATGGAGGAAAATTAATTTTTAAATCTTCTCTGGGGGGGGGAATAAAGAGATACTTTAAAAAAAAAGACTAATAATGCAAGTGTCCCACATTCAAGACAGAACAGTACGCCCTGAAAATATATGTAGAAAGAACTTGTTTCATTCACAGTTCACCAGGGGTTTGTCCAGACTTGTGTAAACAGCAATGCTTGTCATAGTTCTATTATCTATGAGTATACTGAAACAGGAATTTAGAATTGAGCAAAACAGCTCACAGCTGCAAGAAATCAAAATAATTTAATGATTTTCTGTGTCAGGATTTGGAGGATTAGAAATCAGAGCTGCTTTTTTGGTCTTGATTTAGTTACTGGAAAACTTGTGTTGACTTCAGTATAGATGGACCCAGACCTCTGAATTTTTATAAATTTAAAAAAAAAATTTAGAAAAAACCCCAAAGATTTGTAGATACACCTCTGTAGCAATTAACTATTTTTAAAGTCAGTGAACTTATACAAGAAATTATGTATAAGGGATGAGATTTCTGACCCCAGAAAAGTTTTTATGGGTGAGATAGAAATTCTTTTCTGAAGAAAGTGAAACTGCCCTCAGGAACAGGCATTTGAGAGCAGGAGGCAGAGTTGAGGGGCCCCAGAATTGGCTGGACTCGGTGTGTGCTGTGTGAGGAAGTGAGATGTCAGTGCTGAGCACCAGCACCGCGGTCACGCCAGCCCGGAGAGCACATGGAAACAAACAGCTGGAATGGGCTGGGAACTCCGAGCTCCCTTTCCTGTCATAAGGGATTGCCTGAAAACACTGTATTTGCAGAGGGAAAAATTTGAAAATCTTATTCAGCATTTTTCCCTTAGTTAGCAAAATAGGCTTTGCCTCTCGTTTCAGCGGAGCTCTGTTCGGATGCCAGAGCTGAGGGCTCTTAGGAAATGTCAGATGTAAGCAAGCAGCAGGGGATCCAGCCAGTAGAAACAGAGAATTCCCGGAGGAGGTTTTTAATGTTTAAGGGCCCAATTCATTGGCAGTAGATGAAATGTGGTGATTCCCATGGGTTTCAAAGGGCATTCGGTCAGATTTTAATGATTTATTCTGTCTGCTTCAGGAGGTGCATTGCATTTTGGAGGTCAATCGTACTTTTCCCATAAATAGAGATAGGGATTGA